GATTCTGTCCCGTTTTCGAACCGTACGATTATAATTGTATTGATTTTTATAAATATGTTAAAACCGATAAAAATATGTTAAAACTGACTTGCTCCTCAGAGAAACATAAAAAAAAAAAAAGATTATCACTATATAATTTTGTTTTTTATTTGTCCCGGGATTTAATTCTTGTATTTTTTTGCCCATTTAAGCATTTGTCCCTTATAGGCTGAAAAAATATCTGGCAGTCCTAGTGACAACACAGATATGTCCCTATTGTACCCCCAATCCCTATTCCCTAATCCACGGAACGAGAGAAATCTGATACCATCTCATTTTGGTTTAATAATTTCAACTACGTCATGTGGGTCAGGATGGCCGAGCGGTCTAAGGCGCTGCGTTCAGGTCGCAGTCCACTTCTGTGGGCGTGGGTTCGAATCCCACTTCTGACAACATTTTTTTTTCTGACAAACCGCAGGTACGATAAGAATGTACGTTGAAACTAAAGAATTCGTTTTTCGAAAATTTATTTTATGGTGTTTGTAAATCTAAATTTTGTAATAAATATAATTGTGGTAGGTAATGAAATAATATGCAAATTATAGAACCCAAAATGGACGGAGTAAAAGGAACACAAAAAAAAGATAAAGTTCCTTCCGATGGCACGTTGCAATGGACATGCTACTGGGATACCTTAGGACAGTTGACGTTAGGCAGATAGTCGGTCGTGAAGCTCATGCCGAATCCCTATGCAGCATGATAATAGGACATGCTGTGCTGACCCCAAATATTGTGGGATAAAGGCAAGAAAAAGTTCCTTGAAATTTTTGACATCAAATTTATTTTAACCAGCCTCAAAAAAGAAGGAGCTTATCATGTCAAATGCGTTTTATTTATATATTGCTAAGATGGCTGTACGAGCTCACCGCCTAGCCGGTATTAAGTGATTACTGGAGCATTTAGTCATTAATAACGTAAATGCCACCCACCTTGGGACACGAGTTCTAAGCCACCGTTTTTTCAGTACAATGTCTTTCCCATCCTTCAAACCGAAACGCATTACTGCTTCACGGCAGAAACAGGCAGGACGCTGTTTTCGATTCTCAAATTTATCACCAATTTATATTGAATTGCTTCCGAGCAGGATTGTTGATTATTTAAAAAAACTAGAAATTGAACAGAAATCGCAGTATCCATCTGTTTCTCAATAAACCGAACCGAAGATAACATACCGCTATCTATTAAAAATATTATTTAGTAAAAAAATATTCCTATTGTCATTCAAATTACTTCATAATGTGGTTTTGTTGGATACCTATTACGAAAGCTAAATCGAAACATCACTATTTAAAAATAAATATAGCATATGGCATAGATAATTAAATAAGGTGGTGACTATATATATTTTTTTCCTACCTATGCTGATAGCCCTGAGAGGCTATTTCAGCTTCGCCCTAACATGTACCCTAGCAAGAGCCATGCTTCGTAGAATCTACCACCGAATCGGAAACGCGACCCACTGAGAAGATCCGGCGAGAAACTCAGTGGGCTGTGTTTGTGGGTTAATTTACTCGTTGAGCCCTTTTTTTTTAACGCTTGTGAATCAATTTACGGATACCCGGTCGAGGGGGGTAAGAGACAGGGTTATGTCGGACTCCGGCGCCTCCAGAGAAGAACAGGGAGAAGAAGAAGACCGGGGTGCTCCTCTTCTTCCAATTCCTGCCGGGAGACTACGCCTTGAGAAAGACGCGCGAGGCACTGCACGGCGTTAGCCACACAAGAGCTACCCCGCAAAACCAACTACCGACTAAACCCCATCGAGCCCCACCACTCCGACTCCACGGAACCCACGGTACCGCACAGTGCGCGCCGAAGGCTCGCCGTCGCCGGTACCCGTCCTGATAATAGGACGGCATTCCATCTCCGGGAAGATCCCGCAGAACGTCGTCTCGGGAGACACACCGTGAGCGGTGCACAGGAGCCACCTTGCGCCGCCTCACCTCCGGACCGACAGCCGAGTACCGGGCGTCCCCGCACCCGGCACCCGATGGGAGATGAACGGGAGCTTCGCGTCCGTGCCGCCCACTCCGCCTTCTTCGCTGAGAAGCCGAAGAGGGATCCCACTCCCTTTCGCGCTCCTCAGCCTCTCGGAACGCCATGACCAGGTCGCAAAACCTGGTCATGGCCTCCCAAGAATTCTGGTCCTCTAGCATGCGGGCGATGACAGCCCGCAAGGAGAGGTCTCTCCCCAGCACCGCGATGAGGTCTCGCCGCGAGTGCTCCCAACGCGGGCACGCTTCGATTGCGTGCTGAGCGTCATCGTCCGGATGCCCGCACTGGTGGCAATCCGGATGTGGTTCTCTCCTGCAGACCTTCCACAGGTAGCTCCCGAAGCTCGTTGAGCCCTAAAAGCACCGTTAATGGATCGGGAGCATCCGAAATGACTGTGATCCGAACTGTCATCGCGTTTCCCAATTTTAAACTCTTCTTAGAGTCTCCAAGTCTTCCGTCACTTTGCAAAATGCTTATACATAGAAGGGGAACCCACGAGGCTAAATGGGGGCTTACTCCAACGTCACGGGGACATTGGATTCTGAACATTAGATGCTCAAAAGAAAAAAAAAGTTATTTGATGTACACCTTTTCACTTGTGGTTGGAGAAAGTAATGTTTTCAAAAATGTAAAAAAATACGATGCGCGTGCAACTTGGTGCACGTGAATGAAGTTAAACTTCTTTTTCGATGTGTAGTGTTGTGGTTTTCTTAATTTTTTATCCTAAAATCAAATTGCTCTTGTAATAGGGAATACTGTGTATAAGAGATGCGACATCTTCAACATTTATATTATATACATAGTCAGGTCATAAATTCTGTCACATGTTTAATGTAAAATAATTGAAACAAGTTTATTCATTATGTAACCATTCATATACCAAAATGAACTTAACAAAACATAGATTCTTATGACACTAAAGTTTATTCAAAATGACCTCCGTGATTTTGAATACAGGCCTTCAATCTGCGCGGCCAGTCGTCTATCGCAGCACGAACGAGGTCCATGTCAATATCGGCGGCTGCCTTAATCAAGGATGTCTTGAGTGACTCCAAATTGGGATGAGGCTTTGAGCACGCCTTTTCCTCCAAGTGTTGCCATATCTTGTAATCTAACGGATTCAAATCTGGACTGGAGGAGGGCCAGTCTTCGTGCCGGATGAAGTCGATTTCACGCGCCGCCAGCCAGTCTTGTGTGCTCTTCGCTCTATGAGCTGGCGCCGAATCTTGTTGGAATACCCAGTGCCTGTTATTGAACATGGTATGAGAAACAGGTTCCACAAGGTTCGTCAGGACTGTATTTTGATACACAACTGCATTCGTTTTTACACCTTTCTCACAAAAATGTACCTCTGTTAAGCCCCAATAAGAAACTCCCAACCATACCATGAGCGAGGATGGAAAATGACCTCGTTGGACACGCGGAATACGGTTGCTCGCTTCTTCACTACTGTGTGCGTACACCTTATCATTTTGTTTGTTGTAGCTCTCTTCTACGGTAAAAATTTTTTCATCCGAAAAAAGAATTTCCCGATATTTTTTTCCCGCGTACCGCTTCAACAAAGCGCGGCATCTCTTCAGTCTCAGGTCCATTAGACGAGCATTCAAACGATGTCCTGTTTTTCTTCGATATGCCCGAAGCCCTAAGTCTTCATTTAACACCCTTTTCACCGTGGTTCTGCTTAACCCCATCTGAAGGGCCAACAGTTTCTGCTTACGTTTGGGATTTCTTTGAATTCGCGCCTTCACAGCTTTTATCACTGCTGGAGTCCTAACAGACCGAGGGCGACCACTTCTTGACCTGTCATCTACACTAGAGTCTTCATTGTATCGTTTGATGGTACGATAAACGAATCTTTTGGTTATATTCAAATTTTTCAGTATGTTAAAAATTTGAATTGGCGCGTAACCGCAACGATGCAACGCAATAACTGCAACACGGTCTTGTTTAAGCGTTAACTCCATATTTAAAAATGAGTAAAATTCTAAAAGTATACATTTTTATTTTCATGAACAATTCGAAATTCGAATTCAATAAACTTTTTTGTAGCCAGCATTCTAAAAGAAAATTTTTTACTGTGTGACAATACTTATGACCTGACTAGGTATATATTTTAAATTATAGATAGAAAAATAAATATATATATTTTTATAATATGTACTTCATTAAAATATTGGACGCTACTCGTTGCTAACGCTCGCGCTGGCCTGTAACAGGTATACTACGCGCATGCGTTCGAGCGTCACGCATTCGCTCTCGCTCTGTCTCTTTCTATTCCCCCTCCTCAGGAGCGTTAAACGTTTAACGCAACCTTGTTGGAAGACGCATTAGAAGTTTCACTTCAAAAAAAAAAAAAGAAGTCACACAGAAATACTTGAGTGCGTCAGATATTAATAATCTTTGCGCCTCATGTGTTTTCGATAACAGATAAATATTAATCTGCCGTTTTCCATGGCTTGGTCATTGGCATGAAGGGGCTGAAAATGGAAAAAAAAATGTTTTTGAACTCGTATCTGACGAGTTCAGAAGGGATGAAAAAACTTTATACAGCGTAATGTACAGAGTACTAGAACTTTTCTCTGCTGTGACTCTTAAAGCTTATGTTGGTTTTGATATATTTTTAACAGCAACAGGAAAGTCGATCCAAATAATAAAAGAGACAAAAGATAGCATGCTCATTATTTAGACATTATAAAGTTATAATAAGCGAAATTCTGGGGCATGCTTCGCTTTAACAACCGCCGGAGATAAGAAAATTAGTTCGATAAATGAAAATTATACGAAAACAAAAAAATACCTCTATCATTTGATTTGACTTAACGTTGTGGTTTTATCGAAATTAGGAAATCAATTTTCGTGCGACAATGAAACCTCATGAAACAATATATAACACAGTACAAACCACAAAATATGCCATTCGTTTCAGTGATCAGTGTCGCGTCTTTATATCGCTTTACCTTGTTTCTGCAATGTTCAATTTAAAAAGAAGAACTTCAGGCAAGATTGACCCCAGCGTCTCGACCTTACAGAACTATCTTAGAATACGTTCAGTACATCCGAACGTTAACTACAGTAAGGATTGTTGGTTTTGATATATTTTTAACAGCAACAGGAAAGTCGATCCAAATAATAAAAGAGACAGAAAGAGAAGGTAGTAAATAATATGCTCATTATTTAGACATTATAAAGTTATAATAAGCGAAATTCTGGGGCATGCTTCGCTTTAACAACCGCCGGAGATAAGAAAATTAGTTCGATAAATGAAATTAAAATGAATATGATCAAAAACAACAAAAAAATACCACTATCATTTGATTTGACTACACGTTGTGGTTTTATCGAAATTAGGAAATCAATTTTCGTGCGACAATGAAACCTCATGAAACAATATATAACACAGTGCAAACCACAAAATATGCCATTCTCTACAGTGAATAGTGACGCGACTGTACACCGTTTTGCCTTATTTCCGCAATGCTCAGAATACATACAAGTTCACTCAAGAGTGACCCCAGCGTCTCGACCTTACAGAACTATCTTAGAATACGTTCAGTACATCCGAACGTTGACTACAGTAAGGATTTTGTATCATCCTGTAATTAAATTGTCCATATCGCTTATTAGAAATGATTTGCTAGAGCACTCCGACAACAGAATACAAAACTATTGAAAATTTCGTAACGTATTGAACGTGAACTCCCTAAAGCACAACGATCGACTCAATCCTACTCATCGTCGTTCGACGCCAATTACCGAACCGCATAGAAAGCTCGATTAATATTGATGTGATTAAATTTTGCTACACGAGTAGAACAACGCTCTCAAATTATTCTCGATCGTAAGAGGAGAATCGCTTTCCGTTAAATTATTGCCACAACGTGCTATTTACTGAGAAGCGTGGGTCTCATATCGACTTTATGGCCAATACCAATGCTAGCAGCTGTGCAAAGAACAAAAGTCTTACTGTCGGTATCTATTTACAGATGAATGCATCAACTTCCTCAAAAATGAAGCTGAAAAGATTGGACTGCAAGTGCAAGTGGTCGAACCTTTGCCAAAGAAGCCGACGTTGGTAATGACCTGGTTAGGAGAGCAGCCTGAGCTGCCAAGCATATTACTCAACTCTCATATGGACGTGGTGCCTGTCTTCGAGGTAACTTCATTATATGCTATTTAGACAGGGTCTGTTATGTCATCTATCTTTAAGCTTACTGATGTCTACTGCTGCACATAGGCCTCTACAAGCTTACCACAATTGTGTAAAAAATTATGTATTACAATTTATTATGTAAAAAAACATCAAACAATATAATATCGAAGCTTACAAAGGTTCGTCATGTCGTGATGATTACTCGAATCAATTTCATTAAATTATGAACATCGGTTGGTTCGAGTGTTTGTGGCCGCAACTTTTATCCAATAACATCACTGCGTCCACTTTTTATTTTAAATACAATACAATCTTAAATTTGCAATCGGGTCCATTGCTTAATTCAAAAATAAGCGTATACCGAATACAATTGCATTATAGCAAAAATGGATACCAATTTTCTTTGTTCTCTTTTATTCAATTTGATTTAAAGATCCGTCCAATCTTACAGAACAGCTGGAAGCATCCTCCCTTTGCTGCTGAAATAGAAGACAACATAATTTACGCTAGAGGAGTTCAAGATATGAAATCGGTTGGAATTCAGTACATTGAGGCCGTGAGGAGGCTGAAGGAAACCGGCGTCAAGCTCAAAAGGACTGTGCATCTGTCATTTGTACCCGGTAAGCGAAGAGTTATGACTTCCTATCTTGCTCTCTTGTCTCTCTTCTCTGCACACAATGAAAATATCAGTATTCATGCAATATTCCACTGTTTCTTTGACTAGACGAGGAGATTGGTGGCGCTACTGGAATGGGGAAGTTCGTCCAGACGGACGACTTCAAAAACTTGAATGTTGGGTTCGCTCTCGATGAGGGCGTCGCATCCCCGAACGATGATTACCTGGTCTTCAATGGCGAAAGAATAATTTGGCGTAAGTAATAGTGGTTCAATGACGCGCCAAGGGTTACCGGCAAGAAATGGTTGGACCGACATAGGTCTTTCCCAATTTACACCATCAGTGAGCCGGTGGATGTCTGTGGGCTGAAAGATAGACGTCTAACAGTGGACGATTCTGGGCTGATCATGATAACCATAATCAATTTTTACCGCAGCTATTTACAAAGCCTATATCGTTCTACAACCAGCACTGAAGATACCACCTGGAAGAATGCATCATAGGAACCGGGGTTTTTTTATTGCCCGTGTAAGGCAGACGAGAGCATACGGCTCACTTGATGGTGAGTGGTTACCGTTGCTCATGAGCGTCAATAATGCCAGGGGCAGAGCCAATCCGCCGCCTACCGCAATCGGCCCTCCTCCAGTAATCCGGTTTTCGTTGCAGATGTGAAAATCACTTGTCCCGGAAAATCCGGTCACGGTTCCCTTCTGCTCCCGGACAACTGCGGCGAAAAGGTTAGACCCGAAAACATTTCATTGAATTTCTCCCCATTAAAGACTATTTCGATATTCATTTCTTTGGGAAATTCAAAACAAAATTCAATAATGAAAAAGTATTTGTTCGATTCCTATGTTGGAATAATGATTCGATATCGGGTAACGTTCTAAAAATTCATAATTTTGTTCGACGCCTATATTTTACAGTTTGTCTTGAACTTTTTATTTTATTCTAAATATTTATAGATTTATTTAATTTTTATCTTCCAACTTCTCACATTTCAAGTCGTCGTGGCCTAAAGGATAAGATGTCCGGTGCATTCATATCTAGCGATGCACCGGTGTTCGAAACCCGCAGGCGGGTACCAATTTTTGTAATGAAATACGTACTTGAGAAATCTTCACGATTGACTTGATGGAATGAATAACGTGAGGAATAACGTCGTGTAATAAAAATCAAAACCGCAAAATTATAATTTGCGTAATTACTGGTTGGTAGTAGGACGTCTTGTGAGTCCGCACGGGTAGGTATCACCACCCTGACTATTTCTGCCGTGAAGCAGTAATGCGTTTCGGTTTGAAGGGTGGGACAGCCGTTGTACTGTAAAAATTGAGACCTTAGAACTTATACCTCAAGGTGGATGGTGGCACTTACGTTGTAGATGTCTATGGGCTCCAGTAACCACTTAACATCAGGTGGGACTTGAGCTAGTCGACTCATTTAAGCAATAAAAACATAAAAAAATACATTACAATCAATTATACCTTTACTCAATCAATGAGGTTTGAAGCTGATGCTTGCTGCATGTCCTTCTTCAAACGAGGCTTGTGGAGAGTATTAAGCGGTAGGCAGCGGCTTGGCTCTGCCCTTGGCATTGCTGAAGTCCATGGGCGACGGTAACCACTCACCATCAGGTATGCTCGTCTGCCTACAAAGGCAATAAAAATAAATAAAAAAAGCTATGCGTAATATATTATTTCAATGCAAACAGTTGCGGTACATAATTGATAAGTTCATGGACCTGCGTCAGGAGTCCGTTAAAAAGTTGGCTGACAACCCACAGCTAACCATCGGTGACGTCACTAGCGTCAACCTCACCATGATCTCCGTAAGTTTTAAATAAATTAGTGCTTAATACAATTCAACTAGTATATAACACTGAACCTCTCACTAGCGCAACGTATAGTAAGCCTACACGGGTAATGACCAATATCCTACTTATTTCTAACGTGAAGCAGTCATACACCCTGGCTTGATGGAACAGCACAGTCGCTACAAGTTATTGGACAATTAGACCTCATGTTTCAAGGCCAGTTGTGCATAGACTTTCACGCAAAACACTCAGTAGGGGTATTATCGAATGGCACTCATAGAATCTGACTGCAACGCCATCTATATGCTATAATTGAATCACAGAGGCTCGAGATATTGAGGATTAACTCTTGGTGAAAATGATTGTGATAATCATTCATTAATATACTTGTCGGAGATGGTCATTAGCTTAGTAGCTAAACGAAACGCAGCACAATTCCCGAGAGATGGCAGCACGATTGCGGTATCATCGGAACTTGGCTATCTTCGTGCTACGACAGAGCCTAGCTGAAGGAGGCGCGTAGACGCCATCATACTTACCAACAAGCCTTCTTGAAGAGCGGTGCCTCCGCCCTAAGAAATGTCATTCGTTTTCATTTGCTAACGTCAAGAGAAGATTTCTAAATAATTTAAACAATTATTGTTCTAAGACAACAAACGTGATTGGTGTTCTCGATATTTCTCTTAGCTCGATCATCCCATTCGCACCTACGATGTCTGACGATGTTGTTAATAATTGTGGCTTCTCCGACATAGGCATAAATAATTTATTTAAAAAAAAAACATGTCAATAAATTGCACCGTTGCTGCGCGACAGAAAAACCAGTACACACTTAAATATTTATAATACTGTTAGTACTAATTTATTTCATATAATTTCACAGGGAGGTATACAGAACAATGTGGTTCCTGAACAATTTACAGCCAACTTCGACCTTCGCATAGCTCTGAACGTCGATTTAAAAGAATTCGAAAATATGGTGAGTGCCACAGTTTTTCCACATCATTACCCGATTCGTTATAAGCAGCTAATTAATGGCTTAGTTGAGAGAAATACAAAAAAAAAGGAAATAACTATGAATACCAAAGGAAATGACTTTAGTAGCAATTCTGAGTAAACAAAAATATTTCTTTTTAGCCTGGTGATCGTAAACAGAACATTAGGCTAAAGTTATTATTGTAGGTATGTCTTCAGTACTTGATACCTGTGCAAATTTTCAACGTCTTAGATTTACTTATTCGAATTTGCGTTAGAAGCTTTTTTTACATAGATACAAATCTAGCTAATGAAAGCGCGTTAAGACAAAATAACATAATCGTCATCTATGTATGCTATCGAACAAAACTTCCGAATGCGGAACGAAGGGCTAACAGACGTGAACTCAACAAATGTATCCAAAAACAGTCATACGTCAAATCATTGAAGCTTTTCAATCATTTCGTTTTATTTTCCTCATTCATAAAATTTCACATAATATTGTTAATAAGCGCTTTAGAAATCTATCAGTATGTTTTTCGTTAGCCGCCTTTTTTTCAAAACTCACAATAAATGGATAAAATCTACATTGGTGCTTTATCTTAGTACTTTATCGTTGATCTTTTATTTTTGCAGATTCAGAAATGGTGTACTGAAGCTGGTCGCGGCGTCACGTACGAGTTTGAGCAGAAGGATCCTTACACCACACCAACTCAGCTAGACGATGCCAACATTTACTGGAAAGCGTTCAAACAAACCGCACAGGAACTGTAAGGCAATATAATTTGTTTGTAATCGTGCAGGTTAACCAAATAACTGTCTTTGAAGTCGTCACGGCCTCAAAAATAGGAAGCCCGGTGTACTTGTATCGAGTGATGTAAGTGTGCCGGTGTTCGAATACCGCTTGTCGAGATTTTTTTCAAATTAAATACACCCCGAATTCACATTCACGGATGTCTTCCACAAAAAAATAAAAAAATAAAAGAAGAAATAACATTGTGTAATAAAAAACAAACCCGCAAAAACTGATTAAATGAGTTTTTTTATGAAGGTTTTAAACATAATGTGAGTGTTGTTTACTGCCACAAGTAGGGACACTGCCGTCTTGCTAAGAGCTTAGAAAAAATACAAATAAAAATTATAGTAATATCAACGACGAAAACCAATGAAAATACTAATAATAAAACACGCACACATCTTTCAGGGGAATGTCAATTAAGCCTCAAACGTTTACGGGAGGCACCGACAGCCGCTACCTTCGGGAACTTGGCATCCCGGCGCTGGGCTTCTCGCCGATACACAACACCACACCCGCGCTGCATGAGCACAACGAGCATCTAGGCTTGGACGTCTTCATCAATGGAATAGCGGTGTACCAGAGCATCATAAGAGCTGTAGCTAATGCCTAACTCTTTACTTGAATAAAATCATTGGAATTCATTTACTGTTTTATTGTATTAATTCAATGTTTCTTAACCACTGTTTCGCGGTACTGTTGGTGTGCCACGAAATTCTAAAAGTGTGCCGCAAAATTTTAGATATAATTTAAAATGAAAAATACTTTTCACATGAATAGGTATTTAAATTCGTTTTTTTTTTAATTATTCCATTTTTTTCTTCAACGCTTTCTTCATTCATTACGCGAACGTAGCGTATTATACAAACCAATAGGAATAAATGCGTGCGTTTGTAGTCAGGTAGTGTAGTACCAAAGCGTTACTGCAGCAATATAACCGGAATCAATCTGAAAGTACAGTCGTATCCGTGCTCTTGCGATTAATGTCATCTTATTGGTAGTCAGTATCTTCTGAAAGTTCAGTCATATCTGTGCTCTTGCTACTAATGTCATCCAATAGGTTTGCACCATCTTCTGAAAGCTCTTTTAGGGCTGGTGTGTTGAACGGCGTTGAACCGACGAAACAACCACCTATAAAGATATAAGCTAGCAAATTCCAAAAAAGTGACACGTGTCTTTAGTAAGCCAATAGTACGTTTCTCAACTAAAGCAAATTTAAGATCTTGATCTACACGTTCTAATACATCGACATGTGACGTATAACGTATTGTTTTTACACGTCATTTGGAAGGAAATGGCGTGTATGTTAGCAGAGGAAGCGCTCGGAAGTTGATTTATGTTTGAGAATTTCTCCCCGATCCAAGAAAATTGTGGAATCTCTTTACGGTCATGTATGGACCTAGTGTTTTTTCTTGCTTTAGATAAGCTAAGCAGCTTACTGTATCTCGATTTTTGCAAGTCGAAGACATAATTAAAATTAAATTTACCGTTTTAATTTTAATTTAACTTATAGTCATTATATTATTGACGAAGTTTCGAAAAAAATACAATTTTCGTGGTCATGAAGATAGCGGTTGACAAACGTCGGAAATTGAGCTGTTATATGTATATTTATATAAGTATGTGAATTAATACATTAAATCAATAAATACGCTGTGAAGTCTCTAAACAAAGAGACCATTCCGATCGAAGCCTAAAAAATAAAAACATCCAAAAATAAAGTTCTGCAACATACGCAGTGATAAAATGGCAATTCGCTGGATTGTATCGTGTCCGAATGCGCATTGCGCAAACAAGGAAAGTTTTGTTCATTGAATTTGTATGTTTAATGTACGGGAGACCGCATTACCCTTGTGCCTGGCACGGAATGGCCTTTAGATTCATTTAGAATCAATCAAACACTCGTAATAACATTTTGAATTTTATTTAAGTCTCTAGAGAAGTTTGATGAAATAAAACAAAAAAATCTTTGGATCGAAGTGTCAACCCAACGGTTTAAATTTGACCATAATCATTGACACCTCAATAATGAAATTGATTTTATGTATACCAATTTTACTTTCTTTCTATCTTTGACTTTTTGAGTAAATTTTTTTTGTTAACAACACAATCTGTCATTATCTACTCGGTAAAATTAAATAAAAGACCTAAACTTTTGTATAAAATAAACGTAAAACAAACAAAAGGAATCCGTCCGACGAGGGACACATCAAAGGAAAAACAAAATGGTTATTTTTATTTAATTCCGGGCATTTTCATATTTATGTACCTTTTAAAGGACAATGCCCATTTTCTATGGGCGTTTGGGCCCCTAAAAAAAGTTGTCGGGTGATGATGATTTTAACTTAATTTGATAGACAAAGAAATATCGTTTCATATTCAGAAAACGATTTTTATATTCTCACCCAGGTTTAAGAGAAATCTGTTTTTTTCTGCAGCTAAAATTAAGTTGTTAATTGTTTTCTTCGAAATCAATAATCGCTCTCATCATTATTTACAGTACCATAAAATGGGGCGATTAGGGACAAATTCCAACTTTATGAGCAATTTTAAGGTAGTTGTTGATGTATATAATGCTATATCAGGATCAAAATGATTGAGTCTTGGGGGCATCTTTGTTGTCTAATTTAAAATTATGCAACTAGCATTCCAGTTTAAGCAAAAAATGCAAAAATAGGTGTAATCCCTATTTACCCGAAAATTGCGGTTAATTGGGACGAAATGAGAAATTTGCTAGGGCTGGCACTACTTTTATTTTTATATATAGTTTTAATTAATTTATTTATTTAGTTGCACCAACAAAGTGATCATCAATAAAAAAAATTGAAAAACTGACAAAAGTACATGGCAGACATCACCTCAATTATAGGTGCAATCGACAGTGCTGATATTTCTATCTGGGTTAAGAGATTAGGTGTGTCGGTTATTCCATGGATTAATCAGATGAATACCCCCACTCTGAACAAATATTAAATATTTTATTATGTATTACTTAGACATTTTTGTCCACCTTGAGATTTCATTGATCTTGTTACATGTCTCTGCAAAATCGACTTACTTATATTAAATTGCTTATCTATTACAAATAAAGACTTATTCCCAATTTCACTTCGAATAAACCAGATTTTTACCAACAAATTTAAAAAATATTGTTA